GGTCAGCCCCACACTTATGGGGCAGAGCCACACTTAAGGGTCAGCCCCCCATTTATGGGGCAGCCCCCCACTTATGGGGAAGACCCACACTTAGGGTCAGCCCCACACTTATGGGTCAGCCCCCCACTTAGGGGTCAGCCCCCCACTTACGGGGCAGAGCCACGCTTATGGGGCAGAGCCACACTTATGGGATTCCATCCCACACTTATGGGGCAGCCCCCCACTTATGGGGCAGCCCCCCACTTATGGGGCAGCCCCCTGTTTACTGCCGCCCCTTTTCTCTGCCCCACAGATTCGGACGAGGCGGAGGCACCTCAGGATTCGGTGCTGCAGGAACTGCGGGAGCGGCGGCGGAAGCTGCGGGCAGTGCTGAGGTGTGGGGCTGCCCCACAAGTGGGGGGTGGGACCCACAAGTGTGGGGCTGCCCCATAAGTAGCTCGGCCCCCTAAGTGTGGGGCGGGACTCACAAGTGTGGGGTGGGACCCATAAGTGTGGTTCTGCCCCATAAGTAGCTCTGCCCCCTAAGTGTGGGGTGGGACCCACAAATGTGGGGTGGGACCCATAAGTTGGGATGGGACCCATAGATGTGGGGCAGGACCCATAAGTGTGGGGTGGGAGCCGTAAGTGTGGTTCTGCCCCATAAGTAGCTCTGCCCCCTAAGTGGGGGGCTGCCCCACAAGTGTGGGGTGAGACACATAAGTGTGGGGTGGGACCCACAAGTGTGGGGTGGGACCCATAAGTGTGGGGCTGCCCCATAAGTGAGGCGTGACTCCATAAGCGTGGCTCTGCCCCATAAGTGTGGGGTGGGACCCATAAGTGAAGTCTGCCCCATAAGTGTGGGTCTGACCCCATAAGTGTAGCTCTGCCCCATAAGTGTGGGGTGGGACCCATAAGTGAAGCCTACCCCCTAAGCGCTGCTCTGCCCCATAAGTTGTGGGGCTGCCCCCTAAGTAGCTCTGCCCCTTAAGTGTGGGTCTGACCCCATAAGTAGCTCTGCCCCATAAGTGTGGGGTGGGACCCATAAGTGTGGGGCTGCCCCATAAGTGAGGCGTGACTCCATAAGCGTGGCTCTGCCCCATAAGTGTGGGGTGGGACCCATAAGTGAAGTCTGCCCCATAAGTGTGGGTCAGACCCATAAGTGTGGGGCTGCCCCACAAGTGAGGACTTACCCCATAAGTGTGGTTCTGCCCCATAAGTGTGGGGTGGGACCCATAAGTGAAGCCTGCCCCATAAGTGTGGGTCTGACCCTATAAGTAGCTCTGCCCCATAAGTGTGGGGTGGGACCCATAAATGTGGGGCTGCCCCAGAAGTGAAGCCTGCCCCCTAAGTGCTGCTCTGCCCCATAAGTTGTGGGGCTGCCCCATAAGTGTGGGTCAGACCCATAAGTGTGGGGCTGCCCCATAAGTGTCTCTGCCCCATAAGTGTCTCTGCCCCATAAGTGAGGTCTGACCCCCTAAGTGCTGCTCTGCCCCATAAGTTGTGGGGCTGCCCCATAAGTAGCTCAGCCCCATAAGTGTGGGGTGGGACCCATAAGTGAAGCCTGCCCCATAAGTAGCTCTGCCCCATAAGTTGTGGGGCTGCCCCATAAGTAGCTCAGCCCCATAAGTTGTGGGGCTGCCCCATATGTGCTGCTCTGCCCCATAAGTTGTGGGGCGGCCCCCCCAGCGCCGTTTCCGTTTCGCGCAGGTTTTTGGACGCCGTGGCGCCGCTTCCGCCCCCCCGGATCCTTTGGGACCCGCAGTAAAAAATTCCGCCCCTTTTTTTTCCTCCTTTCGCCGTTTTTCAACCCAAAAAACGACGCCAAGATGGCGGACGGCCGTTTAACACTACGATTCCCAGCGGTCTTTGCGCGGGCGGGCGGTGGGGTGCAATTCCGGTTTAAGCCACGCCCAGAATCCGGCGGATCGAACGTACTTCCGGTGCGAGCCACGCCCACAAAGCAGCTGCCCGATCGGACTTCCGGTGCGAGCCACGCCTCCAATCTGCACAACGCTACTTCCGGTCGATGCCACGCCCACACGTCCGCTTGTTAATCGCACTTCCGGCGTACGCCACGCCCCCTCAGCCCAACAGGAAACCACGCTTCCGGTTTCAGTCTCTCCCCCACGGCGCCCCGTTCGATTCCACTTCCGGTTTCAGCCACGCCCCCCCAAAGGACTGCAGTCCAAATGAACTCCGGGTTCAGCCCCGCCCCCCCGAGTGATGTTCAATTCATACTTCCGGTTTAAGCCACGCCCTCTGTTCTGTTTTTCATTACAACTTCCGGTTCAAGTCACGACACCCCCCCCCCTCGCCGCACTGCGTCCAGCCGCACTTCCGGTTAAGGTCACACCGTTTCCGTACCCAAGCTGTTTCCGGTTAAAGCCCCGCTCCTCCACAGAGCTCCAATGCCACTTCCGCTATAAGCCACGCCCCCACCCGTATGGACCAGTAACTTCCGGTCCAGGTTCCGCCCCCTAGCCTATAGTAGCTCACTTCCGGTTCATGCTCCACCCCAGCCCTCTCGGCACTACACTTCCGGTCTAGGCTCCGCCCTGGACCCTTCGGAGACATAACTTCCGGCCCCAGCCCTTCTTACAGCCCACTTCCGGCCCAGGCTCCGTCCCCAACCCTACTTTCAGCTCACTTCCGGCCCAGGCTCCCCCCCCACAACCCTCCTTACCGCTCACTTCCGGCCCAGGTTCCGCCCCTAACCCTACCAGTCGCTCAC